ATAAAATCAGATTTATTTCTGAAATTGGCTCCTAGCTTGTAGAACTATTACAGGATGATTTTGCTTGATACTAATCATTGGATCATTGATGGCTTTTCTTTTCTAGAACCTGACGCATGTATAATCCACGTGTGTGAAGTCTTTTCTAGAAGTAGAGGCCGGCCAAGCTTTTCTAGAATTGAAGGCTTGTATAACTCATTGTGTGATGTCTTTTGTAAAAGTAGTGGCACACAAGCACATAGCGATGAAGACAATATAAAAGGTAGGCTTGCTAATTATAGACAGTAGCTTCTCGCAAATAGTCTTTTGTTCAGGCTCTCTTGAAACAACTTCTGTGCCTCCCAGTTGACTCTTCATCAAATTTTACACGGTCTATGAACTATTTCAAGAGTATTCAGGTATTATAGTCGGTTTAATTCTTTGTGTTCTGTTTAAAAATGAATCTGTTTTACTACTTTATTCACTTTTTTCATTTGGCTTATGCATTGAAATCTGATCACTGTACAGGTCACTCTATGTGCCTGATCTGTAGTACTACTCTTTAGTACTACAGATTTAGTACTGTGCAAATTACATGATTTCTAATTGTAGCTAAGCTTTTTTTTTTAATGATTCATAATTTTTTTTTTTAGATATACAGGGGTGAAGGGTACGAGCTATTTTCTTTTCGGAAAAGAGTGTACGAAATGACTGACAACGTGTGGGCAGGAGTAGCCAGAGTTTTTCACACTTCAAAACTTGATGTGGGACGTCATTTTTAATAGCGGAGCATTGACATATAAGATGCGAGCACAGAAGGCTGGAACAGGCGAACCAGGTCTAGAATCTTCGAGAGTGAGAATATTAACAACTTGTAACTTTCGTGAATCTCAAACTCCATTTTGCGCCTCCGTCTTTGTTTGCTTTGTGATTTTACGTGGTTTATAACTGAAATTGTACACTGTTTATATTAAACGAAGCAAAGTTATGGCTGGTGTTCGCTCGTCAAAGTACCGGGTTGAAACTTTTGCTTTCAGTTAACGCCATGCTAACGTCATTAGCAGCGTTTTTTCGTAGAATGTCAGCAATTGCCAGCAATGCGTGTATTATTTGAACATGACGAAATTATTTTGAATTTTGAAGCATTTCATTGTATCCCACTATTGTAATGAACGAGACAGCCTTCCAATGTACGTGTTGAGGTGTTGTCGTTGTAGGTGCTGACTGCATAGCACTCAGATTAGCTTTCTGCTAGTACCCCGCGAAATAGAGGCATTGTCGTGATGCATTATGTGTATGTTGATAATATGAAAACACAAACCACAAAATAAATAATCGGAAAAGAAGAGTTGAAAACACTGACAGTTTGTCTTTTATGAAACCCTCGTTTCGGGATCAATGTGAACATACCAGGATGGCCGAGTGGTTAAGGCGTTGGACTTAAGATCCAATGGACATATGTCCGCGTGGGTTCGAACCCCACTCCTGGTAGTATGTATTTTGTTGACAATTCAAAAAAAGTTCCATTTGGCGTTTTTAGAAGCAAACACATTTCTTACGCATATTTGAACGACAACGTTTGTCCTCAGTCTGTGGATAACCTTGAACGCGGGGCACAGCAGAAGGAGAAAGGGAAAAAGGCACATCTTTTTTTAAATGGATTATAAGTCTTTATTTTTGTCTTAAGCAAATACCCGCATGAAAAATTAAAAGTAATTGTTTAATTTTACTAGGTAAATCAACAGAAAACGGAAATCATACTTTTTAAAAATTATTTTTATTATTATATTACAACATTTGTGAGTTTGATGGAATGCAACATAATAGCAAAATTTATTATTTTAAATTATACATCCAATGTAATATGCATGGATGTCCCTTCACCTCGCTTTTGTGCATTTTGTGTTTTCAAGGTATTAACCTACGTATTCTTTTTAATCCTTATGTTTTAGGTAGTGCGCCATTTAGACAGAAGAGGGCGCTCTAAGACCCTGTTGTAGTTTGAGGGCTGGACCTGCTGGAGTCCTACACTCATATACATGCTCCTGTAATTAGACTGGCAATGGCGGGGCAAATTTGGGAAATAGTGATGGATGAACAACAGGAAGGTTTTACTTACAAATAGCTGCTGCACAACACTCACCTTAGCTCAAGAGTCATTCATACAAAGAGGGGTTTATTGACTAATATCACACAGTGACCACAAACATCACATCTAAATATTAATAGATTATTTGGAAATATGTCTTCAAACTCGTCAGTGAGTATTCACACTTGTGTGTCTTTGCATTCCTTGCTGAGAAAATATCTTTTCACTTGACAGGTTTTGGGGGTTCACAAGTGTGCTTATTTGTGAATCTGAGCTTCTGCTTTGAGCTGAGTGATGGATCAACCACAAAGGAGCCATGACAACTAAGAAGAGGAAGAGGGAGGGAGAATAATCAACATCTCTGCTCATAAATTTCTTCCACACTTTATTATTTGCTCCACAGGTATTCCACTGGATGATGTGTTCTCCTAAACCTAACACAGGACTAGTAATGAGATTCTATGTCTTTAAAACATTATTTTTTGCAATTCTATAAATGTCTAGGAAAATGTTCTTATTTCCTAGTTTATTGTCTGCTGTCCAGATGTTTTGCTTGACTCCTAAATTTAAATTGAATCTAATTTTGAATAAAGCTGGTGAATTACATTTTAATAGTATTTGTATTAAAATGCATTAGAATGCATTAAAAACATTATTTTAAAATTATCAAAAATTACAATAAGTTATTTGGTTAAAAAATGTGTTAAACCTTTTATGTGTAATTTTCCACCTATTATCCACTTTATGGTTGGATAACACATGAATATCCAGCATTTCCAGGAGTTATGAGCTGTTGGCCCAAACAAAGAAATAAGCAATCAGTGGTAGAATGCTGTTAGTCTTCCCAGGAATCACAATTTTGAAGGACTTTTTTTTTTTTGTGCACCCTATTTCTACTTTTTTAGGTTTCTCTGTCAAGGGAAACTTTATATACTCAGCTTTAAAAGTCACCATCCACATAAAAAAAAAATACAGTAATTTAGAAGAAATTGTTTTCAGTTTATTATTGTTATTCAGTTTAAATTGTTTTCAGTTTTATATATATATATATATATATATATATATATATATATATATATATATATATATGTGTGTGTGTGTGTGTGTGAAGTTACCACAATTTTGGCATGTTGTCAGTTTAATTGCTTGCGAATGATTTACACATTTAATTATTATTTTGCAAATAACCAAAATATGTATTTATTCATTGTACAAAATTCACATCGGTTTTGTTTTAAAATTTTCTAAAAAATTTTATTGTATACAATCATTTATGTAGTTATGCATTTGTTGAATGAACCGGTTCTGTATTCACATGACTTTTCGTATAGTGTGTTTTTTTTTCTAATAAAGGGGGATTTCTGGTGGGAGTCGCCGGTTTTGGTGGTGTTACGTCACGTGACGGTCACCGCGCCATGTTTCCATCTCCCAGTCAGGAAAACTTTTACAGGCAAGGGAACAGCCAGAGGCGGTTGTTAAAAAAAGTCACGTTACATAAATACTTCCGGTTAAGTTCTTCAAAATAAAGGTTTATTTCTATTTTCTTCTCCAAATGGGAGTTTATCTTCGATGTGATGCAAATCAGTACTAATTATCTGGTTGTCTTTCTAGAAGAATAAAACCCTGAACAAACACAGAAAATGGTCCGTTACAGTTTGTGCAAGTCAAACAACTAATTGTTTTATTCTGATAGACGGATTCTTGCATTTCCGCTTCAAGCAGGTAAGTGTGGCTAACTTTACATCAGTGAGAGCAATAGGGAGAAAGAGTCAAGAAAGCAACAGGAACAAAGTTGTAGGACCTGCACCGCCGTGTTCAGTTGTGAAATGCTGTAACCGACTTCCAGTTTTAGGGACACAGCAAGCTGTAAACTACTAAGACATCATCGGAGTTTTGCTCGGCATTAAACAGCAAAGAGGCGTCTCGTGAATCTTTTTTTAAGGGAGCATATCGTGGAGACTGGATGCTCTTCAGGAAGGGTCTCCTTACTTTATCTGAGCTTGGACTTAAGCTTTGATAAGGAAGGTGCTCTGTGCCTTGTAGAAAATGCCTTAAACTGCTTGGACTTTTGTTCTCGGAAACAACTTTGGCACATTAGGCCTTGTTTGTACATTTTGAAGTTGTTTTGAGGGAACGCGTTTCCTGACCCCTGTGACAGACGGTGGAGGTGAGTTTGTTTCTTTTAAACATAGCAAAACACCTTAAAGAACACTACTTTAAAAGTTCACCGCTGGTGTTTATCTTTCGGGGAAAGCGGGGTAGGTTAGATTAGCTTCTTAAAACAAAACACTGAAGTGAATCCACCTGGGGTCTTGACGTAGGTGTTGGTGTGCACGTTGCAGTTTAATTGAATTGGCTGAGTATTCGCTGCAGTCATGCCTTGGAGATGAAACATTAACTCCAACTAGGCCACTCCGACTCGTGTTTGTGTTGGAGAATTTGTCAGAGTCCTAAAAAAAAAGAAGACTTAAATAAATGTACTTGGCCCAATCGTAGCTTATTTCAACTCCAAATTCTCAGATGAACTTCTAAATCATTATATAGTAACATTTTCAAGGAGTACAGCCTATCTGACAGATTGTGTCTCTGTTTTGCTTTGGTCGCCACAACTACCCGTCTAACTCGGAGAGGAACTGAAATTTTTAACACACATGCAAAGATAGATAGTGCCGCCTTTTCCTTACTTATACAGCTATTTTTGGGGTTTTACATCATGCTGTAAGAGCTTGGACTCACCCTGCAACAGCTTGGTAAATCTGCACAGAAGCTTCCCTCAAATGTTTTGGGAGTGGATGGAAACCCTTTTAAAGAACGAACCACAAAACCCAATTGGCCTTTTATAAATGAGTTATAAATGAGCGCACGAGGGCTAAGAGGGATGGCTTTTATTTCATATCCTGTTTGTAAATTTAAAACGTCCACAAAGAATCACATGCTCAGTTGCATGTTAGCACATGACAACAAATTGCATAATGATATCTCAGTTTTATGTCCATAAGCTCCTTGCCAGGGTCCAAAATCAACTCAGTAGAACTGTTGGATAAGTCAAAACTGTGAATGGAGTGTATTGATGGCACACCAAAGCAAAGTGGTCACACAAAGCAGAATTTGAACCATGATAGTGATTGTTGACTAAACAAAACAAGATTCAACTTTATGCATTCCCATTTATAGGTCAAAGGAGATTTTTTTTCCCCCTTCAAGGATTTTGTTTTCATTTGCAAAGGTCCTCAAGATAATGGTCAGTTACAAATCCCTGTAAACGTTTTCACTCCCTTTGAATCGGAAAAACTGTTATAATATATCCACATACTGAGGTAGAAATGTTTTTTTTTTAAATAATGGATTCCCTATCCCTATATGAAATATGCTGTCAAAATCAAACATAGAAATTCATATGTGAAATGTACTAAAAGCTACAAAAAGGGCAAATATATGAAAAAAACATTCACTCATCAGATGTAATCAAATTGTAACCTTTTGGTGTTCATGCAAAATGCTATGTGTGGAATAAAACTAACACTTTGTAAAACTAAACATCATGTATACGGGGAAACCTGGTGGTGACAGGATTATACAGTGGGGAGGCTTTTTTGAAACGTAAACAGAATAGCGGGTTAGGGTTGACTGAGTTGATGGATGAAGCCAAACACAGGGTAATCCTGGAAGAAATCTCATCTTTGGTTGTAAAACCGAGCCTGTTGCAGAAGTTCACTTCCCAACAGGACTGATCCATAACACCAGAGCTACAATGGGATGATTGCCATTAAAGCATATTCATGTGTCAAAATGGCCCAGTCACGATTAAAACCTATAGGGAGGGGAGAAGGAGAAGTTAAGAATTTTAAAATCTGTAATTACAGACCTTCTCCTTTCAATCTGACAGATTCGAGCTTTTTTGCAAAAGGAAATGTCTAAAAATTTTAGTCTTTACATGTCCATAGTTGTGATTCTACAAAGTATCAACTTAAAGGGATGAAATACAAATGAGCATCACACATTTCAGAGTGTTAGTTGAAAAAAATATCCATGTATCCTTCCTTTTTTCATATTTGCTTAATTCTTTCTGTTGGTCTTTTACATATAATCCACTGAAATACACTCAACAATCACAGATGTAACAGCATTAAAGACGTTATTTTAAATGGAAGCAAAAGTTAAATACATCAGTCATACCTAAATACTTTTGCCTAAGACAACTTTTTCTTCTCTCAGGGGCAGAAGAAGAGCTTTCCCACTGTTTCCAAAGTGGCTTTGGGGTGCACCACATAGTTTGATCTGCTTGATTATTAATCTACAATGGCATTACAAGGAGACACTGCAGAAGGAGGAGTCAATGAAGAGTTTAATGAAATCATCAAGTGGAGATCAGGTATGTTTTCTAAAAAGTGACTTCTCTTCTAGAGCACCCAGCATGGTTAGTCAGTGAGCACATGTGCAAGTGCAAATTCTGACAGAGGTTCCAGGCTTCTTTAGGTACACATCACCTCATAGAATAAGGGGTTACACTCTCACAGAATAAGGTGCTTGAGGGCATAGGGACCGAAAGGAAACCCTGACAGAGCCAGAAATCCTGTTGTGCATGGTTAGCCTCCGTTCCCATGGAGCCCGGGGAAAAGGGACGGAAGCAAAGCGAGCAGCAAAGCACGTGAAGCGAACCGGAGACAGTTGACTATACGGAGTTCACTGAGAGAAAGCAGCAGGACAAGTTGACCAATGGCAGCAGAGAACGGCGTAGAAAAGAATGCAGGGATAGGTTTAGAGAGCCACACCCAACGGTCTTTCTCTGTCAATGTTTTCATTCCATAGGTTAATCTTTTGTAGACGCCTCCCTCAAAGAAAGAGACAATGCACAAACAAGTTGTTGTTCAGGTGGGAAAAGGTGAGGTAATTTAAGATAACTTAGAGGAATTCCCAGGGGGTAAATTATGTGTCCTTCAAAGATTAAATAGCTTGTGTTTCAGATAAATAACAAAAGGGACAGTGAAAGATAAGCGACTGAGAAGTGCTCGTCTTTCTGTACAGAACTCGTCTAGCATTCACAAAAATGCGTCAGTTTACAACATGTATACAAGACCCCGGGTATTTGCGAGGGATTTGGAGGTCTTTGTTTCAGCAAATATAGATAATGCTCACATACCGCATAAAAAATTGGATTTAAAACAAATAATTGTTCAAGGTAGATGCAGAAAGTTGACATTCTTGATGCGCTTGTTTTCCTAGTTCATTTGAGACGGTTCACATAAAGTTTAGAGATCGAACTTTGCTATAGAGCTCCATTATCATTTCTACTGTTGCCTCGTGGCAAAAGGACATAGGCTTGAATAGAGTTTTAGTTTGTATGTTCTCCATATTCATATGTAGGTTTTCTCTTGGTACTCTGGCTTCCTCCCACTGAACCAAAACATTCATGTTAAGCTGCTTGTCTGCTCTAAATTGCCTTGAAGTCTAAATTGGTGTTTTTTTTTTTTCTGTGATGGACTAGTGACGGGTCCAGTGTACACTCAACCTCTCACCCATTGATCCCTAGTCCAGTGGTTCTGGAAGGCTTAAACTGGATGAAACCTGGGATTAGTTCTTAAATCATAGTAGGCTGGGTGCCCATGCTGTGATTTTTGCAAGAGAGGAGTTGTCTGTCCACATTCCAGACATCATTTGTTAATCTGCATGGATTGCAAAGGAAGTAATGGCAATTGTTGTCACACTTTTTAATTAAAGTATTTGTATGCATTTTTTTATTTTATTTTTGGTAGGTAGGCTAAGTCATGGAGTTCAATGCATGGCAAAATTTTAAAAGGTTAATGTTTAAAAATTGCAGAAATGATTTGTTACACTTTTCCTCTGGTTGAAAGTATGTTTTATATGTCAGAGAATGAGTGTTTTATCTGTCTGTATGGAGCACATAATGGTGCAGTATGTCCCTGCCCCATAAATCCAGGTGTTTAGAAGGTTAAAAACAGGGATGGTCATGATGGAAACTAAAGGAGCACCTCCCATTTCTGATGCAAAGCAATGAGCAACATGTCTGTCACTGCAGTCCCTGTCTAGCAGATAGCCAGACTGGCTAACCAGCTAATATCAGCTTGTTTCCTACTGTTACTTTATAAGGAACAGATTTGGAAAAAGCTGCACTATTCTAAGAGAATATCATACAAGCATATGCTTAGATGTAAGCAGTGAGGAGACTTTGAAAAGTTTAAAGAACAACCCAAATGTAGAACAGACTTGCTAGAATCAATGATTGCAATCAGATTTGGCCGGGAAACAAAAAATGTATTTACAGGCGCCACGGTTCTCACTCTCGTTTGTCAAAAAGATGATGTTCTAGTCAAACAGCTGAAAATAATTAAATATATTTATGACGCATCTTTTAGCTTCATCTAATGTTTATTATGAAAACAAGTAAAGTTGCATTGGCAAGTGGGATGTATTTTGGACATATCCCACTGGGAAGAGGCCCGGGTTCAGACTTGATACTTGCCTAGTGATTCTCTCCCATGACTGGCTTGGGAATGAGTCGGACTCTCCTAAATGAGCTAAAAGAGTTAGCTGCCAAACAGGGAGGTCTGGGAACCTCTGCTGAAGCTGTTGTCCCTACAACCTGATTCTGGATGAGTGACAGAAGATGGATGGATAGCTAAGTGGATAGATTGATGTGTTGATGCCAGTAAATCATTACAGACAGTTCAAACTGTCAGGGTTATATAATAGTTATGACAGGTCGATCTTGTACTCTACTGAACAACCACCAGAGTGGAGAAAACACAAATCAGCAGGTGTAAGAAAACCTGTTATGTGAAAATATACTTTCTTTTATAGATTAGAGCAATTTAGCAACATTTGTATCTATGTAATGCACAACTAGTCCCTAGAACTGCATGAATTGACCGTACCATATCTTCATTAGGTCAGTTTGATGTGAGCTTTTCTCCCAGAATCATTTATTCTGGCTTAAAGCAAAATTACAGCTTTTACTTGTTGCACTGTCCTGCTAGTTGCACTTTGCCGTTTCTCTCAACCATCAAACACACTGGGGGAGAAGAAGAAAAAAGTCCATGTCCCAGCTTTCCGCACTCGCCCAGCCTTGGTGCGCTTTCAGATCCGTGCCAGGAATTCCACTGAGCCGGTACTCCCAGAAGAGTTTGTAATTTACAGCTCTAGTCTTCAGACCACAAGGCTTTTTCTTGCCAAGTTTCAGGTCACCATAGCAACTAAAAAAGTATAGTTACACACTTAATACATACCATTGCCGTGGCACTCTAAAATAGTTTGATATCTTCAGAGTTATACGTTTATATTGAAGAAACACAACAACCTTGACCCTAGTTTTTTATTTTTATTTTTTTAACCTACATGTCGTTGGTATGCCTATAAGTAAAGTGCCTTGGAAAAGCAGTAATATCCATTGATGCTTTAAACATTTTGTCACTTTACAGCTACAATTTTCAGTTTTATTTTTTATTGGAATAAAACTAGATACGTTTGAAGATGAAAACTGGAGCGTAATACATGCTAATGGTGCAAAAATATGTGATATTTTTATATCGCCTTAAAATTGAATATTTGCTTTCATTTGCTTTAATTAATCATTAAGTGTTACTGCAAATATCCAGCGACATTTACTTGCATAAAAAGTTTAGAGAATCGGTTTGTGAAAGTTAACAAAATAAAACCAATTTTTTTGAAGCGTGCCTCCTTAATTTCTTCTAGTGGATAAGAATACACACAAAAATTACTTTTTAAAAGACCAAGTATGACATATTGTTTTGTGTTTTGAAACTACAATGATTTACAGATCAATTTTTCTAAAAAAATCTGACTTGGTTGTTTGGTTCTTTGGGATGTTGCAAGTTTAACCTATTCATGCATAGTGGTCACTACAGTGGACAGCTGTCTAAAAGCCATTTTCTTGTGCTTCTTGTGGATTTTTATGTTATGTATGCACACAGACCACTGAAGTGGACACTAATGCATCATAAAATACACTATCAACTAGTGGCCATCAGCTGCAAATGCAAGAAATTATTTTTGTTAAATCCAATATGGCCGACAGACAAAAAAAAGCTTGCTGATCTCTTTCTACTGTAGATGACTCTTGCAGGTAAAAAAAAATATTGATAACCCCTAAAGAACAATACTACTGATGTATTTTTTTTTTCAAATAACAACTTTGTATTTGGAGAAAATTGCAATTGATCACCTAAAAAAAAAAAAAATTTTTTTTTACATTTTTTCCCTACTTTCTTAAATTCCTTAAGACAATAAAAAAAAATTGGAAAAAAAATCCTGACACAAAGGATCATAATTCATGCATGAAAGGGTTAATTTGTTGATGTTAAAAGATGTTCTCCACTTGGAGTCACTTAATATATTAAATCACAGTTATTATGATTTTTATTTGGAAAACAAAATAATAAAACTAATCAATGCAGAATTCTTTTCTCACCTCAGTTTTGTGATACCTTTGCATTGACAATTCTGTGAAAATGTCAATCACGTTCTCCGTTTTATCATTCAGGGCTTATTAGACCCTGAGCATGATGAAAAATGACCAGTGGACTATATATACTTGCACACATCATGATCATAATTTTATATCCTACTTTTTTCACACCTCTTAAAGTCTGTAAAGGCTGGATCTTAAAATGTATTCTGTATCTAAACGAAGTTGAGTTGTGGGTGCTGTAAAGTCATAAATACAGATAAGGAGCTCCTTTGTTAGAAGATGTGTAGGCTGTGTGGAGCTGAAACTTGAGCTGTAAGAAGTGAGTGGGTGATGCCCGGTGGGCAGGTGGAGGGATATCTTCACAGCTGGGACAACAGCCATTAGTTCATGAAGACCCTAGGATCTAATGAAAAGGCTTTCAAAAATAAATTTCAAAGGTTGTCACCAACTATTTAAAAAAAGAGAGCATGTCAGCATGTCCGTTTGAGAAAACGTACTTGCTGCAGTTGTCATTTGTTTGATGTAAATGTTACTCTGTTGTTATTCTGTTTTATTATTTCTGCTCGTCCGCATAAAGCAACGGCCATAGCGAGAAACAAACATTCACTTTGTGATAGACTGAAACCTAGATTGTCTTATGCAGCACATGTTGGGCCTTTTATCTGTGGGGTCTTTGTCCTTGAGTGTTTGTCACGCTTGGTGTTCCTTGTGATAAATCTAGTTGGATCCTATCTAGTTCGACCTTACTTTCAGCCAATCAGCAGCTGACCTGCATGTAGCTTCATCTCTGAAATCTACAGGCCACTAGCTTCTTGGAAGGATTGCACTACAAGCTGCAGATGTTTTCAATTTCTCCTCCTTGTTGCTAACTTGGCTGATTTAATTAAATTTCATTTTAAAAACAAAGCATCAAATGGTGGTGTGCA